GCCTAAAAATAAATTAATTAAATTTATTATATATGTATAAAATAAATTAAGAGAACATCCAAGTATTAGAGCTAACTACTGACAAAACAGAGAACCTAAGACTCTATTTAAAGTGTAAAAAGGGAGATATCCAATGCCATTATTAGCTTTGTATATAGAAGGATTCAGTGGTACATGCACTAAATGTAACTATTGATATAAAAACAGGTTTTCTGTACTAACAATTTTTTAATAAGTAAATAAAAGAGCATTAGAAAAGGACATCCAGTCTTCCAATTATACAAACCCATCTTTTCAGGACATTCAAAAATGGCATATGCAAGTGCCCAGGCCCATAAAAACATCAAGCCTGCAGTCCCCAAAGTCCTGGAATTAAGGAGAGAGGTAAAAATGGGGTTACAAAGTATTGGGGCTGTACATTAAAACATAAGCAGAGTGTTGGAACAGAGAGGGTGGTGAACAAAGGCCACTAACCAGAAATGCACTTTAGAGTCAAGTCAAACCCTTCTCAATTGAAAACATAGTGCCAAAATTTAAAAATAATTAAAAAATAATTAAAAAGCAGAAATCCTACTGGAGGAAGATGGAGGCAATTTATGGAGAATTGAAGGTATTAATCTAGAAGGTGGTTAAGAAGGATAAGTGGAAAAAAGACCCAGACTGGGATTTAAGTAAAGAGATGTGTAAGGAGCACAGGCTGCTCTTCCTTATGCCACCATCACCCCAAAAATCAAAAATGAAATAGTTCTTCCAGTTGTACACTAAAGCAAATTAAGCAAAACTACAGCTACTTCATTAATATCAGTTTGCTGCTGCAGCACAGATGAAAAAAGGTGACAAACTGTCCTTTACAAAAGCAACAAAACCTAAAAGATAGTAGAACCTATTCTGCAGTACCCACAATTCTCTCTCACACAAAGCCACCATCTTCAACCCAAAAAAGACCTGGTATGAAATATTACCATTCAATAAAAAAATCATTATTTGGTCCCTTAAGTAGGCCCTGAAGTAGAAGGCTGTGATGAAAATTTATCAAGCATTTTTCTCCAAATGGAATGTATGCTCCAGTACCTTAGGAGCTCTACAGTACATGAAATTTTAACGGAATACTTAATGTCTTTCTAGGTTTTGTAATACCACAAAGAGATACTCATCATGTGTTTTTACCACAGCAGATAAATGCTAATGCCTCTAGTACACAACACTTTCACAGTGGCTTGAATACGAGTCATCTTCCACTCTCTTGGTGAGCAAATTAATGGGATCAATAAATTTTTTAGTATCTCCAGATAAAACTCTTTACCTTCACAAGCCTGATCAGTAAATTCATGATGTACAGAAGGGACCACAAACAACTTGTTATGTGGATTCCCTGAAAGGTTAGTCTGCTCTGAGAAACAGAAAATGTCAAAGGCCTGGGAGTTTTCAGATGTGAACCCACGTCCTGATATGGGAAAGGTTTGTGGAAGATCCTAAAGGTCAGATGTGAGGGTCTCCCTTATCAACAAGGTCGTATGTTAAGTTAAACTGAAACCAAGAGGAGTGTACTCCCTGGAACCACAGCACTCTGATTACAGTAAATGTACTTTTAAAGGGCAAGTAGTTTTAAAAGTGATGCTTAAAAGCATATTTACCAGAATAAAGAAATATGTACATTAAAAAAAGTTGATTTCAGGTAATTTCCATAAGTATTTCCAGTGGCATGAAATTTAAAGCTACTTCCAAATGACAAAAAAAAAAAATATATCTATTTGTAGCTATTCATCTTTGGTTCCTTCTGATTGAAAACAATAATAATTTCAGTAGAGATTAAAAAAAACCAACAACAAAAGAAACACAGCTTTTCTGCATATTTTAAACTGGTATTTACTGGTAGCATATTTTAAACTTTGTATTTACTTTTGTTACAAACAGAAAATTTTGTTAATTTTATCTTGTGACATTTTGCTTTGGTTAAAAGAAATGATGATTTAGAGCCTTGTTATCTTGTAGGAGAGATGCATGAGGAAAGGGCCATTATCTCTCTGTACAAGGGGAACGTGCAGGCACTAAAATACATCCTTGGCTTTGAGCTAAACAAACCTTGAGCAGACAGACAGAGGCTTAGAGTAGCTTGAGAACAGAAGAGGAAATTCCACCAGAATTACTTCTGCCCTGTCAGGTTTTTGGTTTTGTTTTCAGGAGGAGGTTTTGAGCATGCACAACCTCCCTTCAACCTCCTCCTACCTGGGTTATCTGACAAGTTCGAGCTCCTTTATCTGCAGGGCAGTTCAGTGCCCTGCTCCCCATCCTTCCCTGTCAGCCATGGCAGGCTCTGATGTTCCTCCTGGAAGCACACGCTGTCCAGGGAGGGCCTTCCCTTGGGACAAGGGGATGCACTTCAGCAGCTGAGGCTGTTCCCCTGTGGGCAGCACTGCTCTAAATAAATACAGCTTGAGCTGAGTTGGTGCCAGGTGTGATCCTGGCCTGGTTTGGGGTTCCTGGCAGGGATGGTGCCTCGTGCCGATGCTGACACCATGGGATGTGTGGGAAGGAATCTCCCACTCCACAGGACCTTTCCAGCTGCAGTTTGCTCAGTGGCTGAGTATCACCTTCCTGCTAGGTGGATCTACATTGTTCTGATTAACTTGAGGAAAGTTGAGCTGATTCAGAGTGCTCAAGTCCAACACCATTGAAAACATTAAAACAAGCAAAGCCCCCAGCTGTCATTGGAACACTGTTCCCATTCCCATTCCCTACATTCAGGGACAATGATAAGATTTCAGGGTGGCAGAAAGCAAAGCACTTCCCTGGGACACACCACCATGGAGCAGCTCCTGGGCAGGGTGAAGTGCTTTGTTTTGACTCTTCCTGAAGCTACACCCTTCCAAGAGACTCCAAGAAGTAGAGGGTAGGAGAGAAACTCAAAGGAATGGAGTGGTGGCTACCTGGGTTCCACACTGGTGAAGCGAGCTCCTCACTCCCTCTGCAGAGACACAGGAATGAAGGACACTCTTCTGCTTTTTGTGATGTTATCACACTGCTAAATATAACAAAAGCAACACCTTCCTTTTTTAAAAAAGGCAAGGTTAGACAAATGGTCAGGGAAAAAAGCTCATATTCTCCCTAGGGCCAGGTTTCAGCATTATTATGCAAATAGAAATTGGCTTATGCTGTGAATTCACCTGAGGGAATGGGCCCCAGAATCTGAAAACCGAAGGATTTCTCAAGGTGAGCACAAACTACAAGTTCTGGCCTAAGGTTTGGAGCAGTTTTGGAGGACTGTGCTTCTCCAACTCCAGCCAAACCCTCTCAGGGATTCTATGGTTCATTTCTTTAAAAAATCCCACAGTTTTCCATGGAACTAGACATTTTCACCAGCAACTCACAAGAAACTCTTTTGCCTTGCAAGAAATGTATCAACAGAAGATAACTTACTGATTTATTTTGTAAATGTTGTGTTTTACAAACATGGAAGCCTGATACTGGGAATTGATGATTTCTCTCATAATAAATGTTGAGCCATATATAGGCCAGTGTTATGAGGCTCCCATCACAGCAAAAGGCCCCTTTTATTAATGGCTACTTTATCATTTAAAACGTGCATGTTGTTACTTAAAATGGCAAATTGCTTTGCACTGTCCTTGAAGTGCATTGCATAAATATTGTATTCAAGCCTTAGCTTACACTTCATAAATAATTTATTTTTAAAATACCCTTCCATGAGACCACCAGCTGGCAAGATGTTCAATTTTCTGGTAAAAACATGTATTTATTGCAAGTCTTATTTTAACTTGTTGGAGATTTGCTAAAAGCCACATGTGACAGATGCTGTAAGAACTGTATTCAACCTAAAACCTCAGGAAGCTGAAAGCCTCATTCTCCTGGTAGGTTTTGTACCTCTGCATAAGCAGTTTTCTTTGCAGGAGAAAAGCTGAAATCTATTCAAGGAAGCTTTCAAGTACTATTTTCTGATAACCGAAAAATGACTGATAGCACATGATGATCAGAAAAGTTTATAGATTTCATTACATTTCTTTTCACTACAATCCTTCCTCCACCATTTCCATTTCATGTTGCTGCATTTAAACTGCTGTACAAACTTGTTCAAAGTGCTCGACATTAAAAAAAAAAAAAAATCAAAGGAAATTTCAGATAATTAACTTTGATGAATGAGCATATTTTAATTCATGTCTGGTAATATTCTTGTTAATGACATGTCTGCTTAGGACATCCATTAAAAGTCCATTAACTTAACAGGGAAAGTCTAATAAAGTTATCCTGGAAATTTTCTGGTATATTAACGTTATGGACTTTTAATGAATATCTGCTGTAGGAACTGCTATTAGCAAGGCTACTATTCTAATTAAACTTGGGCTTTGAGAGTGAAAAAAAAATGTTTAAAGATAACAACAAGCAGAAGCAGCACCTTTTTTGAAAATGACTACAAGGGAGATATGCACAGGTCACAAATCATGCTATAAAAACAGCTATAAATTACTATATTGTAGCTTTTTTTGTAGCCTGCCATCCAATATACCCATATCAAGAGTGTCCTTCATGTCATCAGTTGCTCAGGCTCCTTTTTACTCCTCTATTGTTGAGACTGAGCAGTACAGAAAGGCCTTCCAGGCCTTTCTGAAGGGTAGGAGATAAAAAATTTAAACAGTTTCTCATAACAATGCAAAGTAAAAAATGCACTTAGGAAGTTCCCTATGGGCATCTCAGCAAGCCATTTGAAGCTGCCGACATTCACAATAATATAGCAAGATATCTTTTTATATGTATATATCTTTTACTCATAGAATCAGAGAATGGGTTGGGTTGGAAGGGACCTTAAAGCTCATCTTATTTCAACCCCTTGCCATGGGCAGGGACACCTTCCACTAAACCAGGTTATTCCAAGCCCCATCTCTGTATATATATATATATATACACATACATAAAGCTTTTTAATAATATGAATATGTCTATTTATTATTATGAATACATGTGTATATTAAAACCCAACCCAGACATACCTATTTTTTCATACTTATCCTTCACCAAATCTTCCAAGCCAATCATTTTCCAGAAACTGTCATCCCAACCTCTGTCTGATGAGTATGTCCACTTGCACACCACTGTACAGAGAGACCTAGAAAAGAGACAATATAGGCACAGAGTCAGGCAAATGAACACATTTAGATTTAAAAACAAGTTCCTGCAAAAGGATCTCTTCTCCACTGGTCAAAAACTCCAGAAGAATGCTCACATTAAAAAAAAAACAAAAAAACCCGCAACAACTGGTTAATGCTTGGAGTGCACATCTTGAGGACCTTAAAAGGACCTTGTGTTTAAGATTCTTCTCTGCTGAAACAACTCCTGGTCTGGCCACTTCACTGCATAAATCAGTCAAATAACAGGCTGTGCATGTGCCTGGGGAGAGCGGGGCAGGAACGCAACAGCTCTGGAGCAGGCAGCTCAGGGTGCTGCTCTTCCAGCCTAAATGGCTGCTTTGCACACAGCCTGTCCTTAGGAAAATTGGTGTTACCTCTCTTACAACTGAGTTACAGTTTCCAGGATGATGGGATCAGATGCACAAGTCTCATTCCTGAGAAGCTGATGTTAAACTCTGCTGTTCCAGGACAGCACCACGGGGCACAGGCAGGAGCAGAATATACACAGAGGAAAGTCTGTCCTAACACACAGAATGGTTTTTATCAATATCCCTGACCTTATTCCTCCCCAAAGAATGAACAATATTCCTGATGATTTAGTATTACACAGGCTGTTTTCTCAAAAGATCAATATTAAACTGCTTGAAAAGTCAGTCAACTAAAAGGTCTTAAAAATGCTAAATACCACTGAAAACTGCAGTTCTGTGTAGTCCTGGGAATACCACAGTACCAGCAAGTGCAAGACAGCTCAGATGCATCTTGGGGAAACACATCATCATAACTGTTCTCAAAGAGAAACCCTGCTCAGAGGTGGATTTTCTTTGATGTTTTACAAGACAGCTTATTTGTGACTCATGTTTAGCCAAGGTGAGCTTACACAGACATATTCTCTTTATTAGGATGGTACAATTTGAACATGTATCTTCAAAGCAAACTCAGTTTAACTGAAGCATTTGACTTTTTCTTGCAGTTTTGCACAAGTGAAAACCAAATAAAATTTCTCTCTTCAAAATTATTGTTTGGAGTAAAAGTAAATCTTCCCTTTCATCCAGGAAAACTACCCAGGGACTGAAACATGAATCACAGAATGGGTTGGGCTGGAAGGACCTTAAAGCTCATCTTGTTCTAACCCCCTGTCATGGGCAGGGACACCTTTCACTACCCCAGGTTGCTCCAAGCCACATCCAACCTGGCCTTGAGCAGAAAAAGAGAAGCAATTTTTATTTCCTATCTGCAAATCAAAGTTAGATCTCATAGCCACTGATACTGCAGACAGAGTAAAGCCAAATAAGAACAGGAAGAGCCTTTCTACACAGCAAGAAGCAACAACATCTTATGTGACACTGAGCAGAAGATGGGATGGTTACATGGACTCTCTAAATTCCCACTTTCTCATCTGGGACAGAAATGTGTCTTTTAAATGCCTCATGTACCCTTCCATCCTGTTTTACTGGAGTAACCATGTTTTTATTACCAGAGGACAAGTGATAGTCATTCACATCCCACTGGTTGTAAAGGTGTGTTGGTTGCTCTTTGCTGCAAGAGAATAATTAACATTATATATTTGGGGGGGGGGAAGACATTAATTATTTATATCCCTATAAATAAATGCAGTCAATAAATGCAGATACTTTTTCAGGACTACTCTTAAAACACTTCTGACACCCCCACCCCCTTTTTTATTTCTTCTTAATAATTTAAGAATAGACCACACAATCACAACTCAGTGTCTGGTTTGAAAACAGAAAAAGTACGTGACCTGTAACTACAGCAATGACAATGTTGATATAAGGAATTCCAATTTCCAAGGATTTAAAAGCCAGACACAGAAATCTAATTAGGACCTTTGACAAAAACTGGGTGAATAAATAAATTCTAGGCTGAAGAAAATACTGGGAAAAAATAAACATTCTCCCCAAATGGGTTCAAACCTCTTGTTAAAAGGAAAAATAAAGACATGGTATTTGAAATAAAAAGCACTTCATCACTTTAGGAAAAATTTAGACATAAGGAGTGAAAAACAATGCATCAAATTTTCCCAAATATGGGAAATACCAAATCATAACAAATTATCATCAAAACCAAATATGTCTTTTTCTAATTAGATTGAAGCTCTGAACTAATGCCACACCCTGAAAAAGGCTCCAAAGAACATGTTTTAAACAGGGGCCTGCTGTCCCACACAGCTCTCTCTGTGGAACACCACACACAGGCCCACGGACTCACTGGCGATGGGAAGAGATCAGCCCTTGCCAATCCACAGAATTCCAGCAGATCCGAGCTCTCTGGCAGGATATGGCTGTACTGAGCACACCCAGTCAATTTAAAAATGCAAAGTGCTCACAGAACAAGGATAAACAGAGGAGTTTTGGTTGAATTTTTAACACAGTATGGAAAATGAACTGGGGAAGACAACTCTTCCCAAATGAATTACTGGCAGATGTCTGAGTGGAAGGTTCTGGTATGAAAACCAATCTCAGATCTGAGCTAAAACACTAACACATTATGTTGGCAGGTTTTTATTTTCATGGCCACAGCAAGAAACTCAAAATGCTTGTTTTAAACACAGTCTGAGTGTTTATAGTTCTCTGGGATTAAATCTCCTTCTTCCACTCCTGCTGCCACTCAAAAAGTATGTGTTTAATGGAACAATATGGCTTCATACAAATCCCTAATATCAAAGAGAAAGTGTCATACCACAGAAAGGCATCCTGCTCTCTGAGATAACAGCTCAAAGGAAAGGATTTCTTTGTGATGGCCATGAAGGATTAACATCACCACATGCTTCAAAAGCACCTGGATGGGTTGAACTCAAACCCTGCCCCTCACCTGAGGAGATGCTCTGTTTGTATGCCCAGAGAGCTCTATGCACATGCAGAGAGAACAGTTCATTCATGGCTTGTCACTGCTGAAGCCAATGATAAAGATGTACATTATATATATAATATTTATTTATATTTGTATGTATATTAACTTTATAGGAAATCAGTCAGAAATTCTCCTCCAGAGAATCACCCTGAAAAGGGGATAGCACAACCCCTAACTTGGGAAAAATCTATCCAGGAAGACACTATGGGAAAAAAACACCTGAGGAATCAAATCAGTACACCTACAAAGAAAGCCTCAACTATGAGAAAATTTTGTATTTCACAGAACTCCCAAGTTTGATGATATGAAGGGCAGACATCAAACAGAAACATTACTGATATCTGCTGTGGCATATTCCATTTTTCCTATTTGGCAGCATTGTCTCAATTCTTTGGTCATAAACACCAGGCTTGTTCTGGCTGAAGCTGGATGAACCAGATGGGCTGAAGCAAATGCTCCTCTTACTTTACTCCCAGGATCAGCAGGTTCAAAGGTGCAGAGAAGAGGCAATCCCAGAGGGAACAGTCCTCTCCCAGCTGCCTAATCCAACACAGGATTTGAGGAGCCATGAATGGAAGTCCTCAGAAGCATGAGCCATATGTAGTCAGTCTGAAATACCATCAGTTTGGAGACTCTTTTCTTTAAGCATATTCCCAGCACAATGAAATGAAAGATTTCCTTTCTCTGGTCAGAACAAAAAGTTTTGTTTAGAATATTCCTACTGAAAAAAAGTCCCAACCGTCGTGCATGGAAAATTTTTATTTTATTTAAACCAGATTTTCATCAGGAAAATTATTCTGTTTAGAGTTTCCTACAAGTTTCTTGCTGAGGACTGGTTGGATGTGCTGAAGTTCTGCATGACCAGAATCTCAGCAGTCTTAAAAACACAGTCTGTGAACACACACTTGTAATTCCCAAAATGTTGTCTGGAAGCCACTAACCTGCAAAAGGATCGGGGGCAACTGGACTTGGCATCACTCAGGTGATCAAAATTTGTTTCTGTGTGCCTCTTCCCACATTATCTGCCCATTCTGGGTATTTTATATCGCTCTGTTGTACTTGGAGAGAAGGAAATCAGATAGATTTGCTGAAAATGGGAATTACTGCATGCTCTAAGTTACTGGCCTAAAAGTGTATCTCAAATATAAAAGTCACAAAAAACTTCTCCTCAATTACTCAGGAGTCACCAGAATTTCACACTTTGGTCCATTCTTTGTTGACACATCTCCCACACTCCAAAAGGGATAAAGCCAGCAGAGACACGATTCCCAAATCTGCAGAGATCCTGCCCTGCCTGGGACAACACCTCTATGGAAATAATTCTGGGGGGCTACTCCTTAACTGCAGCTGTCTTGTGGAAGTCATCCCTATTTTGAGTATAGCTTGGTGGTAAGTCCTATCAAATAAAAGTTACTAAAAGAAACAGGTTTTTTTACCTGAAAAGTGACCCCATAAGGCATTTCTACGTGACCTTCCATTCCAGAGGGCTGGTACAAGATTAATTAGCCTGGAAAATGAATCAGTCACCAGCTTGAAAGACACAGAACCCCTGGCTGGGGCATCCTGAGGTGAATGGCAGCTTTGTTCTCAACTCCAAAGCAAAGGGATCTGCTCCATTCATCCCAACTGCTCAGAAACAAACCTAAACTCATGAACTTAATTAATTTTGTAGGCATCATTAACAATGCAGCAGTTCAATCGCTGGATCACTAAACTAAAGCCAGCTGCACCTGCTGAGAGCTGTGCCAAAGCTAAATTCTACAGAAGCAAGGATAAGGTACAGTTAGATCCCAAAAGGAATAGTGTGCAGTAGGATAAAGTAACTCTCTGTGGTCTGTTGGGCAAATTTATTTAAAGCTACAAAGAATCAAAAGCTAAGAAAGCTTTATGATGTTGTGAACGCAAGAAGGAGACCTGAAACAATAGAATGTGACTGTCACAACATCAAATGATTTTTCTTTTGTTCTACAAAGTTTAAATTTAAAACAGATTTTGAATTCAAATTGTAAACCAGGGCGTAGATTCTGCTCAAATGAACATCTCCACATATTGACATCTGGGCCAGGCTGCCAATGTCCTCCCAAATTATGCATCCCCCACAGTCTCAAGG